AAGTGACAAGTGAATGGGTTCCAGGGCCGTAGCTTCATGTGATAAATGAGGCTCAGCAGAAGAGCGTTAGGACATCTCACCAGCAGAAATGCAGGGTCCCAGATGTAAAGTCTTAGGAGCCGCTCCTTCTGGAGACCCTCCCTGAAACACAATGAATGTGTTTAACTTTTGTTCAACTCACCTGAATTTTACCAAAACAGCAGAAGTTGGAGGACATCCAGCATGGGCCAGGATGCCTATGCTAGAGCCACTTCCTGTGGCATATTGGTGACTGAAGGTAAAATATGTCATGGCTCAGCTGTGTGCCAGACTTCAAGGGAACAGCGGGCACAGGAAATAGACTAGGGCTGGGCTAGAACAAATGACCTAACGAAGGAGGGATTAATTCACTAGTGGATAGTCAGCAACTCATGTTACAGTGGCCAGGAGGGGTGTGGAGGACGGAGATTTGATCCTGCCAACAAGGACAGACAAGGAGATTTTATTTGTCAAGTGGAACTTGGCAGGACACATCTCCAGGCTGAAACGATACGCAGTCAGGAGTGTGGCAGTGCCTTAGGTCCCGAGGTTTGTCCACACTGGGTTGAAGCAGACACTGAGAATAAGAGAATGGAGTTTTGCTCCTGGAGAGTTCTTGGCAAGAGCAAGGCTGACTGTCAAGGTCACTGCTAAAGTTTTTCTAGGCAAAACATTAAGTCCAGGACTGAAAATGTGAATTGAAAACACAAGATAAGCCTAGTCCTATGAAATGGCAAATATGAAAAGAAGACCAGGAAATTATTAGAACTCACTAGGGTTAGGCAGGCAAACCCAACTCAGGCTGGCTGGGTCCCCGATCCCATGCAGAGCAAGGTGGGAAGGCAAGGTTCAGAGCCCACACTGCATCTGCCACCTTCTGTTTGTCTAACTCCTTTTTTTCCACCACTGGTTTTCTCAGTGTTCATATTCGTGTTGGCTTCAGAGGAGCAAGTGCAATTGGTGAGGAGATGGCAGTGGCCCAGAATATTCCCTGTGTGGCCTCCTGTCATCACCAACAGGCCCAGGCCCAGGCTGCAGCTGAAGCCCCAGCAGAGGAGGGAGAGGAAGGTGCAAGCCAGACAGAGCTCAGGATTCTGGAGGGTAGGGGCAGGAAGTTCCAACAGGTGGAAGAACACAAATCTTCAGCCCAAGGGACAGTCTGCCAGCAGCTAAAGAATCGACATGCTGCCAAGACTTTTGGACAGAAAGGAACATCCAACTTCCAAGCCCGGAGCCAGAGGGCACCTCCATGCTGGGGCTCTGTGTTCCCACTGAGCAGTACTGAGAGGGTCTGGGTCCTAGTCAAGCAGTGGGTTTCCGAGTCTGTTCAAAACGCACTTGCATATGCATTTGATTCTCAAAACCACCACAAGGTGTGGAAAAGGCAACCACCACCATCTGCATGTTCACACTGCAGAAAGAAATGCTGGAGGCAATCTTTATATAAGGCATGTCATGGTTCAACATTTCCAACAGATTCACTGCAACCAAACTATGTTTATTTTTGGTTTAAAGATGAATGTAACAGTCGAACAGAGCCCTCCAGGGTGGAGTTCCCTGAGGAAGGGGACACATTTGCACCTCCCAGCCTCTCTAGGGGGGCTGGTAGAGGTAGTTGCACATTGGGAACAGATTTGTGATAAGGAATCAACTTTGCATTTGATCTGAGCAATGAAAGACAAAGTAGAGTACAACAGAAACTAACTGCCCACTTGACAAGCTTTGTCTTGTGTCAAATTCCTTAGATGATCTCCTTATAAAATCAAAACTTTCCTCTGAGGTTGAAATTCTATCGCAAAGTTCCATAAAGCTAAGAATTAGGACCAAAAAAAAGTTCTTTTCACCAGACCAAAAGAACTTTAAAGATGACAAGTTCCGTGGATCATGTCACAGATACCATATCTAGGAAAACATTGCACACCTTGTTTCAAGTCAACAATTAAGTATCAGGCTACTTAACTATGTTGGTTTATATTTAAAATAAACCTGGGAGAGGAATTTGATTATTTTTTATTGGAGCCATATATACCTTATTAAATATTCTTCTGTAAGGAAAGTATAATTTAAATTCACAGTACACTATACAAAAGAAAACATTTCCAACTACTCACCCATCCTTTAAAAACCACGCTTGGAGGATAATGCCATTAGTCATAATATATGATGATATAAAATCAGGCTACATAAGTGAGGGATAGATGCAGCTCTACACACTCCGCATACCCAGCGGAGTCCCCTCTTCCTATGATTCACAATTCATTCATAGCTTATCTGAAGTGCCACTACTCCACAGCTGCTTTCCACATAAACTTCCTGCATTGCAAACAAGACATGGGCTCTTAATAGTTACACTGAAGATGTCCAGGCCATTTAGGAGTGAGCAAGTAAATCCACCAATGTTAAAGACATTATTTGGAAAGAACACCATGTTGGATCAAGAAATGACAAGATATTTTAGGTAAAAATGTGAAAAAATTAATTACATTGTAATTTACAAATGCAGAATGCAATTTACTTTTTATCATATCCTTTAACTTTCTTCCTATTTGATTTATTAGAATGGATCCAAGAAATTCAAGTTCTGCCAATTTCACATTTTTTCCCCTAGGCTCACTTTCAACAGGTTACCTGCAATTAAAAGCTAAAATATGATTAAAAGAAATTCCATTTTTGCTCACTCTAGCTTGAAATAATAAAAAAGTTTTCTGTAAGAAAATAACCATTGTTTTTTATATGAAACAAATAGGAAGGTCACACTCTAAACAGTGTTTATGCAGCCTTAAATAATCTTAAAGAAATAAAGCAATATTTTAGTATTATCCCTCCCCAGGAAGAAAAAGAGGGTAATGAATATTTATAGATTTCTCTATATTTTAAAGCAAAGTTCTCTAAATAAATTTTAATGTGGGCTTAATACAAAAACCTTTTTAGTATAGCACTTGCTCTTTCTCTAAATCTTGACCAATTCCACATGTCCCTTTTCCCATACTACAATTTTGCCTCATTGAAATTTTCCATGCCAGAGGTTTTTTAAGTCTACTTTACATCTCAGGTTCCCTTCCAACTATCAAGCCCATTTGAATTATTATCCAGCATTACTGAAAAGAAACAACCGAATTTTATCATCACTATTTTCAAGTTATGTTCAATCTCACAGGTTCCCAGCCTACAGAAACCGTCTAAATCAGACCTACAACATAATTATTTTTCAATTAGTAATTTAACCTAAAGTTATATTTCCATATGGAAACCTCTTCAAAAATAGTATGCCCTGTAGCTCAGCAATCACTAATTATATATTCAGTTAATTGAGACAAACATGTAAAGAAAAATCTAAGGAAAGGCTATTTAGTATTGGAAGCATAGGATGGGAACCACATGTACTGGAACACGTTCAAGGGGGAGGCATGTTCCATGTCCATGTGCTCCTGGCAATACCAGCTTCATAACAAGGGGGTGCACCCAACACTCGTCTATCCACGGTATTTGAAACAGAAAGAATTCTTTTTTAAAAAAATGTGGCCACCACAGTCCTGTCTACATGTATGTAACTGTTCTAGATTCCTCATTTCCCCTTCTGAAATGTACATTCTCATGCATGATCTTTCTCTTAAACAAATACCCAGGCAATGTTTCAAACACAGGAAATAGTGATGAATGGTTCATGCAATATAATGATCTCATATAATTATTTGGACTACATAATTATTAAACTTTTTTTTTTCAAATAGTAACCCAGAAGAAAGGCTAAAACGGGGCGGGGCATAGATTATTTGTCTGGTTGGAACTCAGAAGCCAAAAGAGAAAGGAAAGATCTGTGCAAAGCATACAGTGAAATAGCCAGTGTCCTTAACAACACAATTGCTCTGATGAATACATTTCTTTCTCAAGGAGAGCTGTGTTCACCCTGCAAACAGGATCCGCGGCACGGGGTAGGGGACACCTATCCTCACAGATTTCGAATAGGTTCCTGTAAGACTTGTACGCAAATGAAGGTTTGCACGCTCGAAATCTGTCCATATGGATGCAAAACCCAAACCTCTGCTTTCTCTTCACTTCCAACCTGCGTGCAAGAAGAGTCGCACACACGCAAGAGCACGCATATCAGAATCACAATTCTAACATGCACTCAGCCAAGTAGACAAGCGAAATCTACTGCTATAGTCAGTTGTCCCCTTCACCGCCTCCGCCCTTTAAAAACAAGCAGAAATTAGCCCTGCTGTAAGGAGGCTGTGTGCCCGGGGAGGGTTCCAGAGAGGAGATCCGGTGCAATTCAGCAGCCGCCTCTGCGCGAGTGTAGACTGCCTGGGTCGGTAAAAGAAGCGCACCCTGGCTACGTACCTTCGCTCGCGTTACTCTAAGTGCAACATTTGCCTCTTTGCTCCCTGAAACGTAATTCCAGCAAGCGGCTCCGCTACAAGGTTGGCGCGGGTGCTCTCCTAAAAACCAAAGGCAATCAAACGAGGGCCCCACCAAGCACTCGGCACACAAGCGTGAGCGCGCTCGTACACACACACACACACACACACACACACACACACACACACACACACACAGCCTAGCAGCTCCCCCAGCCCAGACGCTTGGTGCCTCGGATCCGGCATCCGAGGGAGAGAAAATCGAAGCGAAAGAAAGCTGGGTGGGGCGACCCCAGCTCTCTTCTGGCCACTGCTCGCCTTATTCCCGTCCCATTACAGGCACTTGGGTGGGCGTCTCGGCATTTCCTACCCTCAGTCCCCGAGCTCCAACTCCGCATCAGACCGCGATCTCAAGGTTCAAGCCCCACCCCGAGTCCCCAAATTGACAGAACAACCCCTTTCGTCCCCTCCTCAGTTCCTTCTTTAAACTCCTCCAGCAAAAAAACATTTCTTACTAGCGCGAAAAACTTTTTCCTCCTTTAGCAACGAGATAAAGCAAGAAACCAGGTCATCGGCTACCGACACCCTCTTCGCTGAGCGCCGGGTGGCGAGCGCAGCCCTTACCTGGCAGCTGCGCTCCAGGTGGCCGTCCCACGCCGGTCCTCCGCGCCTGCCCAGAGCACTGGGTCGTCTGGTCCACGATCTCTTGGTCTTCTGCCGGTGGACGTTCAGGGAGCTGCTGTCCTTAGTCTCTGGTGTCCCTGGCCGGAGCCGCCCTTCGATTCATCGCGGGTCTTCCCAGAAGCGCTGCTGCTGCCGTGGCGGACCAACGAAGAGCACGGGGATCCGGGATGGCACCGACTTGCCCCGCGGTGTGCGCTCCCGGGTCCGAGAGCACTCCGCCCGCGGGCAGTTGCGGCCGCTCATCACATGCCGCCACTGGGCAGCAGCAGCAGCACCTGCCCCAAAGGCAGCGCCCCGGACTAGGGAGAGCAGCCCCCGCGCCCTGAGTTCTCTTGCACGCTCCGGTCCTTTCTGTTCACGCCCTTTCCCCCCGTCTGCCCTCTCACTTTTTTCCCCTTCTCCTTTCTATCTCCCTTATTTTGTATTGCCCTTTTCCAAAAGCAGACAGAAGACGCTCCTAGTGGGAGGAGGGTCTGTCCCTCCCCACGAACTCTTCCTTGCCTGGTGGTGGCGGTCGCGGCTACTGCTGGCCCTCTCTTCCTCCCCTTCCTCCTAGCGTTCCTCCTCCTCCTCCTCCTGCTCGCGTTCCTCCTCCTCCTCCTCCTAGCGCTGCTAGCGCTGGTGTAATGCACAAGCTGCCTGGTTGAGACCCAAACCTGCCCAGCTTCTGAGCATGCCCAGTTGCCCCGCTGGCGCCTCCTCGCCCGTCTCCCGCGTGCCGGCTTGGCTGGGGTTTTCCGCCTGGCAGGGGGCGAGGAAAGCCGGCTGGGGGATCCCGGGGTCCTTTAGGGTGGGCTCGAGGTCAGTGAGCCTTAATCGAGGAGAGCCTCACGCCTCCAGGGTGCCTCACACGTTCCCAGATTGTGCCGCCAGTGCTTCAAGGACAGATGCTGTTGGTCAGTTAGTTTCCTGTTCCTTTTTAAATTGGTTTCCTTGGACTGCTTGGAAGGCTTGGAAGGAAGTCGATTCCTTGGGCTCAATTTATCGATGAATGAACCTCAGCTCGGTTAAAATATACGACTCCGCTGGAAACCCGTCTCTGGGGAAGGTCTGATGCATCTACTTTTTGACGTTTAGTGAGAGTGTTTATGCGGAGGAATGTTAATAGAGGACATCTTGGCTTTTCCTCCTGTAGAAGTTTACACTTTAGGAAAAATTAGAGGAGAACCCGTGAAAAACACAGGCGTGCACGTGTGTGTGTACGCACACACAGACACACAATTCACTTTTTTTTCTAACTAGGGGGGAAAAAAGTAATCTTGCTAGCCAGGCATTTAAAGCTCTCAAACAACTCAAGAGGAGTGTGTGTGTGTGTGTGTGTGTGTGTGTGTGTGTGTGTGAGAGAGAGAGAGAGAGAGAGAGAGAGACTGAGACTTACTATATACTACCAGCTAGTTAAATAAGGGAAAAAAATCTAGAGATAACAAAGTTTCAAAGATGCCAATGAGATTGCTCCACAGCACTCTAGAGTTTTCCTTAAAAGCACTTAAGGAAAGATAATAGGAGAATCCCATAAGAAAGGACAAGCATAACTGTCTACTCTGGAAACAGGAAGGAAGGAAGAGCAACTCATGAAATGAAACTTTTAGTAACGCTAAAGGCAACAAGATGATCCTAATTGAGTAAGAAGGTAAATAGGAAAAGATAGAGCACTCTTTTAAAAAAAATAATGTTAAGAGATTAGAGAGGGCTGGGGATGTGGCTCAAGGTAGCGTGCTCGCGTGGCTTGGGGGCAGCCTGAGTTTGATCCTCAGCACCACAAACAAACAAAGATGTTGTGTCCACTGAAAACTAAAAAATAAATATTAAAATTCTCTCTCTTAAAAAAGAAGAGATTAGAGAAATGGAAGTCTAAAAAATACTTTCTGATTTTATATTCTCCTCTAGGTAGAATGATTTTTAGGAGACCAGGGAATAAACAGTGCTTAGAGAGAACTGAGGTCCTAATTTCCGGGGGTGGGGGCAGGGAAACTAGTGAAAAAGTATGTGGCTACTTAAAATAATTCCCATATCCAGGTTCAGGTGAACTGCATGCAGAATACTAGACAGTATGTTGGTTCTAAGTGTGGTGTCCTATTTTTCAGCAGTTTTATCAAATTATTTTTCAGATGAAAATATAAATATACTTACTGATTTAAGAAAGGACCTAAGTACCTAAGGGAGTGCTACTTTGTAAGATATCAGAAATCAGAAATTTACCTTTGGATGCTGAGCTAAAACAATAGAGATAAACCAGAGCTGGAATACATTTTGAAATTCTGCATTTTGGGTTTGTTTAAAGAAATATATGGGATAATAATAGGATTTATTCAATTATTAAATGGCATTCTGATCATAGATAAGACAGATAGCTAATACAGCCCTTACTCTTCTACTGTAAAATCTCTATAAAACCTTGACAAAATACATAAGAGAACATTTTTAAATAAAGAGCAATCAACATAAGGCTGCAGTTTTTGGTAATAGGAGGCACTTAGACTGGGCCAGTTCCACAGATCTTTCCTCCTACAGGACATTTTCTTTTCCAACAGAAATACTGGGAGGTTGACACCAATCACAGATCTGCAGTCTCACTAATCAGAGGACACATAGCTCAAGAGCTTGGAGCTCTAAAGGTAACTGAGATTTCAAGACAGACACAGTGACAGAGAGAAGGACACAGAGAGGAAGCCCCAGAAATTGGTGTGGCAGTTCTTTGTGTTCCTCGATTAAACGAGGTTGCCTGTACCCTGTGTTGAGCTCTGGAAGCTCAACAGAACCCAGAGGTTGAGAGGCTGAAATTAGAGTAGAGGTCACACAATTCTGGAGTTTGAGTCCAGCCAGAGTGGAAAGAACTTGATGAACACCTTGAACATTCAGTTGAGACCTCCCTGCACACACTCCCTTGGTGTGAGGATGATGCCCTAAGAGAAAGAATCCAAAATGGATGTGTTCTAACAAAGCTGAATCCAGGGCTTTGCTTGCTTAATGTGATCTACCCATGATTTAACCACCTGCTAGCACACAATTCAAAGTTCATGGAAGAAAAGGAACATAAGCTAGAGTCTATACAAATACAGCAGTCCAAACTTACCAGACATTGAAGAAAATAAACGAGTAACTGATGACAAAGCAATAACCAAGGAAAACTAGTCAAAAATGATCTTAATTTCAGAATTAATAGACAAGGATATTTACATAAATGTGATAAAAAAGTCATTAAAACTACCCTGAAAGTGGCCAAAACTGACAGAAAAGATGGAACATCTCAGCATAATATAGGAATATAAAAAAGAAACTGGGGGGCTGGGGATGTGGCTCAAGCGGTAGCCCGCTCGCCTGGCATGCATGGGGCGCTGGGTTAGATCCTCAGCACCACATTAAAAAAAATAAAATAAGGATGTTGTGTCCACCAAAAACTGGAAAATAAATATTAAAAAATTCTCTCTCTCTCTTTCTCTCTCTTTTAAAAAAAAGAAACTAGGGTGCAGCTTAGTGATAGAACACTTACCTAGCACATACCAGATTTGGGGTTCAATCCCTAGCACTGGCGGAGACAGAGAATCAAATTTTATTGGCTGCTAAATCAAGATATAATTAGATGAGTTGAAAAGACACATTGGTACAGCAGAAGATAACAGTGGTAGTCTCAAATGAAACACAACATAAAATATACTAAAAGAGCTGAAAGAGGAGCAAGACATGATCAGATGTAGTATTAGAAGAAGTAACGGTCAGGAGTGTTTCCTATCAGATGAAAAATATCAGCCAAGAAATTCAAGAAGCTCAATGAACCCTCCGCAGTGCATTACTAAGTTCACAAGAGGCAATTTGCTGAAAACCAAAGATAAAGAGAAAAATGTAAAAATGGCCAGAAGTAGAGGAGTCATGAACTTGGGGGAGCAATGTAAATGAGCCCTGACTTCAGCAGAGAAATCAGAGAAGGCAGAGGATAATAGGAAGACACAGAGTACAGAAGCATGCACACACAAGCAAACAAAAGTTCTTAAACTTGAATTCTATTCCCATTGAAAACAGTCTAAAAGTGAAGGAGGAAACAAACAATCGAAAATGGAGAGAATTCATTGACAGGGGACCATGAACTATAAGAGCCACTGAAAGCTGTTTTCCACGCAAAGGAAGATGATCTGGGATTGAACCACAGAAGGGTAAACAGGAGAGGACAGCTGCAGAAAAGTTACCTAAGGAGAATACGTCAAAGAGTAACTATTTAAGACATAAAGGACGAGAATATCTTGTGGCACTTATACCATATGTTGAGGTCAAATATATAATGACAATATCCAAATGGTGGGAAAGGTAAGTATAAGATCCTGACCTTTGGTAATAGTCTAAGATACACTCTATTTAGGATGATTTCTTTCTAGTGGAATCAATGAAAAAAATGATATCAAAGATATAACAAAAAAGTATTAGAGAAAATACAATTGAACTATAAACTATGTTTGAGAAAAAAAGATAAGAAGGCAGAGATTCGTGAACAAACGAGCCACATAGAAAACAATCATGAGATGCTAAATTTAAGACCCAGCTGTATTATTAATTACATCAAATATAAGTGCCCACTTAAAAGACAAATGTTTTCAGAATGTAAGAACAAGACCTTACTATTCCTTCAGAGGGAACACAGTTTAAATATAAAAATATAGAAAGATTGAGAACATATGAATGGAAAAGTTCTACCAGGCATTTACTAAACATATCAAGATACTGATTTTCCTCAAACTGTCCTATACTTATAATGCATTTCTAGTCAAAATCCAAGATATATGAGTGATGATATGTGAGTAATCTGAATGGCAGTCATCAAGGAAACATACAGTCATGTGCCACATAAGGATGTTTTGATGACAGCCACATGTTAAACTGTGGTTCCCCCAAGATTTTATTGCCTGGTGATACTGTTGTCTTCTTAGTTTGCATGAGTACATTCTATTGTGTTTACACAACAGAGAAACCACCTAACAACGCCTTCTGTTGTTAAGCAACACGCTTAAGCTGACTATGGATCCCTAAATTTCATCAGATGGACCACTTAAAATGTATACAAATTACTGTTATATTATACTTCACATTTTAAAAACGATACATAGAGTATCTGCTAGACATAAAGCACTATCTCAGACAAATGGAGAATACAAACTCAAGCACCATCTAACTCCCACTCTCAAGGATGAAGATGTCTGACTTGTCTAAAGCTCATGTAACAAGAACTTGGGGTTCATTGGTAAAAAAAAATAAACATATGCAACGTTTTTCTGCTTAAGGGAAAACAAGTAGGTAATTTAGGATAATTATTTATTAGCACTCTGCCTCAGCAGGACTGTCTTGATTCTAGTGATTGAGTCAATTCAACATATTTTAAAAGATGAGAACCAAGCATAGAATAATTGAGATTCATATATTTTTTGTGTGTTCTTTTATTTATCCACTTTTTAATTTAATGTTTATTTTAATTGATTTGTTTTTCTGATATTGGGGATAAAGCTCAGGTGTGCTTTACCACTGAACTCATTCCCCATCCCTTTTTATTTTCTGACAGGATCTTGCTAAATTGCTGAGGCTGGCCTTGAACTTGGAATCCTTTTGCCTCAGCCTCTGGAGCTGCTGGGATTACAGGAGTGTACCACTACAACCAGCCTTAACTGCTCATTTTAAAGCATGGATTTGACTTTGCTAAATGCTGGGTACTGAACAGTGCTCTAGGGAGACTGAGACATCAGTACGTAGCTACAGTGTGTAGCTCTTCTTGGGATAGTTGGAGATCACGAATGACTCTGGAACTTTGAAAGAAAGAGTAAACATATTATGTAATGCTATAGGAAGTTATGGGCACATAGGCATCAGCTGCTGATGAGGAAGACTTAGTCTAATGTTTATGAAGTGTCCATCTGACCTAAAGAAGAGTTGAGATTTTTATCTCTGGAGACATTTCAATATAGAACAATAATAATAACATTCAATTGTGAGTCCACATTTCTGCCCAGCAAGAGGCTATACACTTTCTGTTTATTTTAACTAGTATCTTA